ATACAATATTTCTAAAAAATATAATGCTTTAAGCAATAGTTTAAAAAACATACCCGTCGGGAAATTTAAGAAGGCACTTCATAACATTGTTTTTGCTAGGCAAACGTTTGATTTGAGTTAAATTTTATAACCCATTTGACTGTAAGTTATTTATTTTTATTTATTTTTTTTTTCATACATTTTGTTTTTCACAAAGTTATTTATGTACTTATTTTTTTTCCCCATTACAAAGTAATTCTTTATTTTTCTGTACAATTCCCAATTAGATTTTGATTTCGTTTCATTATAGTAGGGTTAAGTGTAAGAGCAGAGTTGGGCCGCCGTGAGTAGCCCAACATCTGAACTTCGCCCTGTTAAATTGTGTGTGTGGCATGATTTAATAAAAGACTTTATTATTATTATTATTTCGGCCATCTCCCACAATTTAAAGATGGCTTCAATTATCAATACAGAACAGATGCATTGAGCGAGTATCTAAAATTTAAAATTAATAATTGTTTTGTACGACTGTGTAAAGTGAAAAACAGCTGACTTAGAAATATTGAAGCCCATCAAACCCGAAGTCATTAAAGTAAAAAAATGAAAGGACGAGAAAACGACCCTTGGGCCTTTCTTGAACATTAGGGTCTAGAAAACTTAAAAAACAACCGAAGATACGGTCTGAGGGAGATATAGTGCCGGAATAGAGTTATTTAAATGGCATATAAAGTTTATGAAATCAGCTCAGGCGCTTACAAAAAGTAAAAGAAACTTCGAATGCTCCAAAATGCACTTTGAAATGCGGTTGAAAAGATTTTCGATAGCTTTCTGTGGCATTCCCAGAACTTTTTAAGGCCTTTCCAAAGCGTGAAAATTGTATAAGCTTCAGAAATATACTAAAGCTCTCCAATAAGTTGTTATATGCAGTTTGAGCACACACAACAAAATTGCCTTTAGGTAAGCTCAGGGAAAGTATATAGAAATGGGTCCGGATGATTAACGGGTTCAACTAGTCAACAAAGCAAAAATAAATAAGTGAACCGGATAGGCACCACTCAGTCTTCTAGAAAATTTAAAAAGAGAGAAAATACTTACTGAGCGGGAACATTTCATACTAAGAACTCCTTGCTCTATTATTAATAAATCTATAAGCGTAAAGAGATTGAATGGATTGTACATAAACAATAACAGTAGTCGAAGAATAACTGAAATCGTTGGCAATTTAATTCAAAGTCTCGAAAATTAAAGAAAGGGAAGTTTTTAGCCAAGGAAATTACATTTGCACGGCCTCTAACGGGAAAATAAAAAAGAAGAAGTACACAAATGGTGTAAAGGGGGTTAAAGAATATAAGTTTTAAAAGGTGAAGCAGAAAAAAATCGTTACAAACCGTATACGAAGCTCTGCATGAAACTTGAATCGATATACTCTGGTTAAGTTCCTAAGGAATTCTGTAAAGGGCGTTTACAGACCAAATCATACTTGCCAATTTTTTATATGGGAGCTGTTGTTATTTAATTAGGGGTGGTTTCTTTTTAGAAGAAGTATTGCTTTAGTAGACTATGTTGATACTTTGGTTATAAATAAATACGACTAACATTAAGAATTGAATGGAAAATGTGTTGATTTTTTAAATGGCAACCCTCCTTTTTAAAACTCTACATTATGTATAAAAAATAAGAGTATCTTTGTATAAAGCAGTTTATTCCAAACAAAAATTTGCAATAAATTAATAATAAACATATTTAAATTCATGTGTATATAATTTAATCGCCCTGGCAAGATTATTATTAAGATCAATTTCTTTAATGCTGGATTGATTTTTTTCTCCGCTACTCAATAGCATTATTACAATAGAAGAAATATTAAACAGTCGATACTTCGAAAACTCAAAATGTTCTTGAAACAGACCTTTATACAAAGTTACCTTCACTTTTGTACTTAAACAGCGTTGTAAAAATAGGGGATTTCTATAAAAAATAGTTTTTAACATTTTTTTCAATTCAATTTTTAAATGTTAGTTTTAGAGCCCTCTGTATTTCTTTATAATCAAACTATCAACAGTCTAAAGTGGAACCTCTACTTAAAAACCAGCATCAATGAAATAATAAGCTCTCGTATACCAAAAGTTGACAATTATGACTTCCGGTGCAAACGTAATTTTTTTAGTCGAAAATGAAAGTACAAACAGACAAGCAGACAGACAGACAAACTGACAGCCACACTGAGCGACATCATCGAGATTTTGTTTGATTCGGAATCCTGGTGCTTCAAAATGTATATTTCTCTCAAAAAAGTGGCGGGGGCCATTTTTAGCGCATTTTTTAAGAATTAAAAAAACTACTGGCTACTAGTTTTATCCTTCATGGTACTCTAATGAAAGGTCTCAACGAAAGGAATTAATTTCTACCAACCATAGCCCTCTCCTCGACCTCTTATCGTGGAAGAGAGTACTCACAAAGGGCGATTGAGACGTCTGCAAGAAATATATCCATTGGTGCGCTTTATCTGCACAAGAGTTGTGCACAATTTATACTTGTTTACCCCTGCCTTGCTAACGTGCGGATCGTAAAAATAGAATAATATCTAGCATGTTCCATTTAAAATAAGCAACTTGGTGTCAATTTGAGGTATAACGAATTTGAAAACGTTTGAGATGGGTCCCTCTTTGGTTCCTCTCATCAACATTAGTATATCGTCATGCTAGTGATATTACTGTGTGCAATGGCATGCGGTCACCTGCACCACCCACAAAACACATGTCCAGCTAGCTCACAACAAATAAAGTCATTCACAAAAACCAAATTTGGTTCAACCAAACTTCTCAACGGAGCAATATTTTGTTCCTCCACTCTCGGCACTTTAAAATCTTGTTATATCTTCTCCTCTCGCTTTTCTTTAATATCTATAATTTTATATATAATGTAGTTCTCCATTTTTTTGGGGTTCGTTGAGATTCTTTAATATATAAAAGGAACCACAATTGTTTATTGTTTCTATAAAGCAATCGATTTCGGGTTTAACCACCCATCATCAGGCATGTGATATTTTTTAGCATAGCCTGATGATGGGTGGTTAAACCCGAAATCGATTGCTTTATAGAAACAATAAACAATTGTGGTTCCTTTTATATATTAAAGAATCTATAATTTTCTCTTCTTTCACCTGCAGTTCATCTTTATTCTTTACTTTCTTTTCTAATTCTCTGTTCATCTCTTGTAAGTCTTCATGAAATTTCAAATTTATGCTTTGACTAAATTTTCTTCTACTCCGTCAATTTCTTCTTCTAATTCCAATAGCTTCGAGGATTCTACTTCTTTGACAGTTGGTCTTCTTTCCTTCCTTAATTTTAGTTATCGTTCTCCTGTCCCTTCCAATTTCTTTAAAACAAAACGTTGAGTCTCCCCCCCTTTCTTCTGTTTCATTTTCTTTAGTTTCTTCTTTGACTGGTTTTAAGTTTTCAATGTAATTATTTAAATTTTCTTCTTCTCTTTTAGAATGGTTTATGGCTAGGTTTATGGTTTCTTCAATATTCATTTGTCGTATCACTACTCGACGATCTTTTTGTATTAATTTTGTTTCTTCTAGTAGTTGGAAATAATTTTTTATGAAATGGAATGCTCCTGAGTTCTTCGTAATCTCCAAGGGACTAGTGAAGCTTCTGATGGTTTCCGTCGGAGGGATGGTTTGGATGTCGCCATCAATTTCTTCGGTTTTTGGTGTAGCATGTGATCGGCTTTATAAATAACTGCGGGGTTTCCATGATGTGTCTTCTTCCTCGATTCTTTCCATTGATTTCTTAGCCTTCCAATATCATTGTCATGCTTCGTTCTTCTACACTTGATTTCTAATATTGTGCGGTCTTGGTCATCCAGCCTTTTTGTAGTTCTGCTGGTGTGGGCTCCCAATTTTTATTCCCGGTTCTCACGGATCGCCAGTTTTCTTTTGGCTCTGATTCGTTTCCTTAATTTGTTCTTTAGTTTGTTTCCTCAGCTTCACTGGCTCCTCGGGACACTCTAGAGCTCCAGTGTTCTTTGGTGCAGAGGTATCCGCCATCATTTGAAAGTAGAAAATCAAGAATTTGGTTTTATATGGCGCATTTTTCACATAATGTAACCTTTTCAGTGTCTAACTAATATTTTGGTTTCCCTTCTAACTTCTTCATTGACTCTTCGCCGTCTAATTCCAACACACTTTCAGGATAACCCTCTTTCTGGTGCAAATCGAGTTCAAATTACATTAGTTTAGATCCATTGGATGATAGTTGGACTTTTAACAATCAAAACTTCTCCTCGAAAATGACATTACTAGTCAAAATTGTTATTCCACTGCCAAAACTAAGCCTTCTTAACCCTCTGGCCGTCAAAAATACAAAACTTGTCATAGATTTACACATTTCGACAAATTGATTTGATTGCTGTTAACCTTTTCGCTGCTAAATTAAAAATTCGAGTGTAAACAGCCTGTGCTGAATTAAAATTGTACAAAACGTATATTTACGTACGTCGCACTGAGAGAAATCGTCGCGCGTATATAGGTCGTATCTTTTAGAGAATCTTACCGTCATTTCCATCACACTGAAACGCTCTAGTCATTATAGAAACTGTGGCGAAACATGTGTACTTTTCCAGGCAAGCAATTGGATTCCGTCCCATTCGGAAATCGTAAATGGTATCCTTATCGATCTAGAAGGGGAAGGGAATACCTTTAAACCCCACACCACACGTTCCGACAATTTTCCCAGCGTTCACAAACACTAATGACATGGACCTCTCACCTTCGGACTAGGCGTTTCGGTGAATCGATCGGATTCAACATCAAACTAAAGACTACGACATATATATACGTCATCAGCAGATTGATTTGCAGCACCCAGCACGTGCATATACGTGCACAGCAAGGTTGGGAAGTAAAGCTCAATGTATTTTATCGGAGGGGCATCAAAATTTGTTTATTTATTTTTGATTTGATTTTTTTATTTTTTATTTAATTTTTTTATATTTTTTTTATATAAAAACAAAAAATAAAAAAAAAAATAAAAAAATAAACCGCAGCCTCCTACTTCGTCAATCCAACGTATTCATCCGCCATCTACTGATTGACTTATGGATAAAACAATTTATCAAACGTCTGAATAAATAACTACTACAACAAAATAAATGCGCACACGTGTTACCTGAAACCGTTTTTAGCGTACTGGACAAAACTAAATTGAGTCGTGTTGGTACTCGTTGGAAAGCACACGAAATGGGCTTTCCGATGGTGTGCAAATGATTGCAGCACGTTAATATACGGAGGTAGCACAGAATTTTAAACAGGTACAACGTATATATACGTGCGTCGCACACAGATTCCGCATTTTCAGAACGTATATACAGGGTGACAATTTGAAAACTTACCACCCCCCATATCTTAGTAAATAAACGAGATATTTAAAAAAATCAAAATCCGTTTCGGTAATTCGGAGGGGGAATCACAATGACATACTTGGCGACGCACCCCCTCCAACCCCCTGCGCCCCAGCCACCCCAACTTTTAAATCTTAAATAGTGACCCCCCATGTGTGATACGTCGTTGGAAAGCTCTGAAAAAATGCTTTCCAACCATACCAAATAGCATTACATTTAGGTTAGTAATTATCGTGCAAATCAAAAAATAAACATGGAAAATCGTATTTAACTTGAACTTCCAAAGCCGACTCGACAGCAACTCATTTTTGATCGCCAGTTATAATCTATTCTCAAACTCTTGTCGAACCTTTTCAAATGTTGGTTTTGCAATATTTTGACATTCTTGAATTATTCTCTGTCTTAGTTCGTCTATGTTCGCCGGTTGCGTTTTAAATACGACAGATTTCAAATGTATCATATTAGTTTATTTTTTGATTTGCACGATAATTACTAACCTAATTGTAATGCTATTTGGTATGGTTGGAAAGCATTTTTTCAGACCTTTCCAACGACGTATCACACATGGGGGGTCACTATTTAAGATTTAAAAGTTGGGGTGGCTGGGACGCAGGGGGTTGGAGGGGGTGCGTCGCCAACTATGTCATTGTGATTCCCCCTCCGAATTACCGAAACGGATTTTGATTTTTTTAAATATCTCGTTTATTTAATAAGATATGGGGGGTGGTAAGTTTTCAAATTGATGTCACCCTGTATACGTGCGCGGCAGTGAAAAGGTTAATAATTCTGAGTTTAATAAACAAACTAAAAACCTACTATGTTATCAATTGAGCAGAAAATGACGTTTATTGGATGGCTATGCGTAATAATGCCAAACGGTACGCTCAGAGAAAGAACTACGAAAAGGAAAAGTAAAGAAATTAAAATTAGCTGCAACAAAAAATTGGAAATTTTCTTGCGCCATTTGCAGTATGGAAAAGCCCACGACTATGTTAAGAAAATGCATTATACAACTAAGTTTACACGATTGATAGTAAAGGGGATCAAACAAGCTTGCACTTTTACATTGAAAATCATTTGATGCACTAATAATTAGGGAGTGTGTCTGGAATGCCAATGCACTAAAAAGTCTAAGCATAATCATCATCTAATACTTCTATCCTGGCCATCAGTACCTTCTAAAATATTATTTCAATCCGATCGCGACTAATGCTTCATGTCGACTCCGGTTTCTTGCTTATAGTTTCACAGGGACTTAGAGCTTTTTACTTTTCAAATTCGAAGAAAATGCCTTTAAATAGGTTCTGTGTCAGAAATATTACTTTACAACCTATTGATTCTCATTGTTAAAAATTTTATTAACATACGTAAAAGCAATCTTCTTTAAATTGGACTGATCTCTCTACCTAATTGAATACTCTCGCGAAGCGAATACGAAAGGAAAATATTACAAAGATTATAGGCGATTAGTATTGAGCAAACAATAAAGTTGTTTTTTGTTTCCAGGCTACCGGAATGACACCGTTAATGTATGCAGTGAAAGACAACCGAACTTCGCTTTTGGATAAAATGATCGACTTGGGATCTGACGTTAGTGCTAGAAATAATGTAAGTAGCTCTAATTAAAGAGTAGATATACTCGTAGTTACCACGTGTTGCATAAGTACGAATTAAGTTTTCCCTCAAAATAAAATACTTTCACGAGATCCTACGTTGTAAAGAGGTAATTACCTAGTATCTTGAAATTTAACTCGGACTTTTCCAACTTAAACTCGGAAAGTCCGATTGTGTTTCTGAATGTCCGAATTGAACCAGAGAAATCCAACTTAAACTCGGAATTTCTGGCCTTTCTTCTGAGACAAAAAACGCACAAAAGAGACTTTCGATATCTTACTATAGCCACTAATAATAACCAATTATCAATCAAATAGTTAAATTCTTGATAAATATCCGAAACAACCTAAAACTATTGTAGAATAGCATCTTTCTGTTCCACAAAGGTTCGACTACCCGCCTACAACAGTTGAAAACAAAATTGAATACCAAAATCCAAAAAAAAAAAATTGTACGACGATGGAAAGATCCGAGATTCATTTTAATAAAGTTTAATAAGTGTGGCCCATGTTTCATTTTTAGACTTATTACTTGTTGTTCCAGTAAAATGTTTACCAGTGCCGTAGAAATTAAATTTTATTTTGTACAAGAGAAGTTTCAAACCCCTGTAAATGTAACTAATCCATTAGACTTGAACGTATATAACTTTTAACATTAACTTCAAGATTTTAAAAACAAGATGCAACATGATCCAAAATCTAAATTAATCTTCAAAATTTAAACCTTAAACTTAAATCTTAAAAATTCTGATTTAAATTCATCTCATTAACAGTTTAGAAAACGAAGTAGCGTAATTTTATCGTCCTTCTTATTCCAAATCATCACGTTTAATACTACGGAACTTCTACTTTAGCGCCTGATACTCCCTTTTGTAGCTACTTCAACTTACTTATAACTTTATTAGAACGAAAAAGAACAAACTGAAATAGCCCTTATCATACAGCAATCGAATGTAGAACACGATTTCTTAGTCTATAAACAAAAGCTCCATTCCAAGGGTTTAAATCGTGGTCGTAAACGGTAATCAAAAGTTCCTTGTCCACATTTTGGGGCCAAGGTGCGCAAACCTTGACACTGATGATTTTATCGATGCAAATTACATACGGTTAAGGGCGCTATTTCTAATATATCTTTGATTACTCCCATTTCATGTTATTATACGTGATTTATACCAAAGACATATATTTTCGGTTGGTATGCTTTGGCCCCTTTGTACGTCATTTGTACGATATGGTTGCGTGTCCTTAATTGTATGCGTGAAATTAGTTTTCGACCACTTTTAATAAAAAATTAACCCGGTTCTAAAATACCACCCGCACGTTCTTTATTTGCATACAACTCTATTTATTTATTGATTGTATGCACTGCTAAAGTACGGGAAAGGCATTTCTCTGACTAAGAAATTAGTAGGAGATGAATGTTGTATAAAACTGGTCCTAAGCGAGATTCTTGTGGAACCTCCGAATGCCCAATTCCTGCTTTGGCCAGTTCAATGGAACATTTTTTGGATACTATGTGCGGAATAATTATGAATGAAACATGCATCTTAGAAAGTTTTTGCATTTCGACATGATCCAATGTTTTCTAGGACAACTGCAAAGTAATTCAATTTGAAAATGTAACTTGCAACCATTTACTTTCAAGATCCAAATGCAAAGCTTACCTCGGATCGCAAGAAATTGGGCTTCGTAAAATAGAAAACAACAAACGATATATTTTTTATACAATAATCAAAAGTTTCCTCAATCCCGTTTTATTTCAATACCGATATTGATCTTTCTTATTCATGAAACTGAAGGTAGAAAATATTTAAAAAATCAATACAATTTGCATATACCTACCAGCTGCGTTTAAAACTGTATTATTTACTCTCCGTATAAATTTCAAAACGGGATTAATTAAGATAACACTTTCGCGTAGTATTTTTAATTAATAGGCACTTACTACACGCATTTATTTTCTATTCGGACTAACACATTTTGTGGAATATAATATCGCAGGAATTTTCAAAATCTTTGAACGTGTAGACGCTAAATTCGGGTATTTTACTCCATTACGTCAAAACTTTTTTGCATGGATGCCGCATATTTTTGGAATGAAAAAACTATCGTTAAATTAACGATTCAATAGTTTTAAGGAAGCCCTAACCGATTCAAGCCACTTTTTTCATTATCGCAATTACTTGCGGATGTAGATAGCAGTTTTCCTATTTTAAATAGAAGTATTTTATTACGCTCTGGCAATATACATGAAAATCTACGTGGTTTGATACCACATTTCCCTACACCTAGCATTAAAGGTTTTTTTGAGCGCTGTTGACTTGAATCTGAAAGAGTCTTCTAAAATCAACAATATTGACTTGAGGCTACTTGGGAATAATTTAAATTTTGATCACTCTTTTACAGGGTGTTTTAAAAGTAATGGCCAATTTTAATAATTGCAAATCTTAAAAAGATACAACTAAAGTTATTAAAGCAAAGCAAGTAATTTACTGGTAAGATGTGCCGACATGATTACAACGAAACGCAACATTAAAGAATCGCTACAGTGATAATAATGCATTCTACTATAAAGTAGACATTGCGTGTAATGTAGGTACGCCTAACGTCCTACTTTACATGTATAATTTGAGTGTATGCATTGTAAGTCGAGATTTTTTTCCGAAAAGCTAACACGTCATCGAGCTTACCCTGTAAGGATACCGAAGTCTGCTAAAGGAAAATCTTGAATCAACAATTCGGCACGCGATCATTCTGTACCTACCTGGTACATCAAATCGAATTTGGACTGTCGTAAATACATGCTATGAAATTGTTTAGGAAGCACCATCGCCCATAAATAATCGTACAGATCATATAAATTAAGACTAACATTAATTTATGTCCACGGGCAAGTCGGGCCTTCAATACGAAATTTATGTCAGCCTTAATTTCGAAAGTAATTTGCAATTTTCATCGAGTTAATGTTGCTTTAATAAACGAGAAAGGTTTCACAAATTTCTATTAATCGGTGATGATAGATTGTGCATTAGCAATATTGGGGGCAAGACGTTTTATTAATCGCAATTACCCTTGTTCTTTGATTTACGATTTTTATCAAGGACAGGTCATCATAAAAGACCTGCGAAGTCATTTTCTTTCCTAGTTACTTTGAAAGGCACTAATTTGGATGTCGCTTCGGTTTCAGCCCTTTTTTGTGCTTGACACATTGTACACACCTGTCTTGTTATATTTCATTGGTACATTTGCACTAGTCCCCGAGTATAAAGTCAACAGTAAAGAATAAACACCTTATAGTTTACGTATGCCTCAGTGATAGCTTAATGGTAAATCTTTCCTTTGATCTTTAGACCAATTTTACAGTACATTTTGATAGAGAAAACTCAGAATGAGGCCTTGAATAAATTGAAAATTGCGTCAATTTCACCCAAACGGTTACTGCTATCCCAAAAAGGCATTATAGATAATTACCTATAGCTTTATTTTCCGTACCCACATGCGTCCAGAAACTCACCATTTTCCAGCCTAGGCAAAAATATCACTAAAAATTGGCTCGTAGAACTGATTGCTTTGACATATGTAACTTAAAATTAAATGGTCACAATGCCCAATTAATATTTCACCGTTGGCGTATTTCTAGTATAAATTCATTTATGTCTTACTAACCTATCATAGCACATTTTATATCTGTGATACGCGGGCATAAAGTACCACTTTATGCCCTAGGGCATTAAGTATCACCATAGTAACTCATTTATACTTAATGACAAAACAAACAAATATTTGCAGGTCATTGAAAATTAGAAACGTCAATTATTAATTGTCAATACCAACTAAATCACAAGATTGGCCTTATTTCGTATAGTTTCTGGAACTTCTTGCTCATTCACAATGAATTGAATTATTTAAAATTACGTTTGACGTTTGGATGGTTTCAATCACATTAACAAATTCGAACCACGCATACTCGATCAAACATAATGAATGATTTTGTAAACGAATTTTGACGAAGAAAACTAAGTATTTGTAAAACATAAAATTGTGTATGTACCACGGGCATAAACTGATGTTTATACTCTCGGGCGACTAAAAAGCTCTCGGGCCATAGGCCCTCAAGCTTTTTAACTCGTCGCCCTCGAGAATATAAACATCACTATTATGCCCTTAATACATAAATAACTATTTTAAGCACATTATGGACTCGGTAACATAGTAATAATTATTAATTCGGTAAGTACCCTAATCAAGAAATGCGAGTTTTGCTTAGAGGGTTTAGTGAACTTAGTGTTTATGGCAAGAAATAGATACTGAAAGTTTACCTACTTTCAACCTGCAAATAGGAATGCCAAAAAAATTTCCCGACGTAAACAAAAAAAACACACTAACCGCTAGAACAGTGTATTTATCTGTCACTGTAAACACTAAGCTGTATAAGTACATTATATATTTACCAGTTCTATGAAGTTTTCAATGATGATTACCTAGCTAGATTTAATATCATCAAATGAAAGATTGATAATTGTTAATGACGGTATTAATAATTTAGCTATGAAATGTGAACCCAACAACTCAAAATCTAATTTGAAATACCCTAAAATTGAATTTAAGAAATTCGGAGGTGAACTCAAGAATTGGTTACCCCTTCTGGAGCTAATTTAAAAGAATTCAGGATGATGATACAATTGATCCCGAAATCTAAAGCCAGACAAATAGTAGGAAGTTATCCACAAATTGGAGCCAGCCATTAAATCATTTCCAAAAGTTACGATGATCTTTCAACAAGTAATAAACCATAAACAATGACAATGCTTGGTAATAGAGAAAATAAATTGTTACAACTAATATAACCTTTATGTCCATTATCCTAGCAGAGCAAGGTCAGGAGAACACAATCAAACATATTACATAATTAGGTGCTAATTAAGTGCCTTATTCCCGAATCAAATGCTCCTTTTTTTTAATTATTACATGTTCTGCCAGGTTCATATGAACTCAGCAGAGCACTACCTCTAAAAACCAAGAAAATGAAAAGTGAATTAACTATAATTAGGTGCTAATTAAATGCCATATTTCCGAATTAAATGCTCCTTTTTTTAAATTATTACATGTCCTGCCAGGTTCATATGAACTCAGCAGAGCACTACCTCAAAAAACCAAGAAAATGAAAAGTGAATTAACTATAATTAGGTGCTAATTAAATGCCCTATTTCCGAATTAAATGCTCCTTTTTTTAAATTATTACATGTTCTGCCAGGTTCATATGAACTCAGCAGAGCACTACCTCAAAAAACCAAGAAAATGAAAAGTGAACTAACTATAATTAGGTGCTAATTAAGTGCCCTATTCCCGAAGTAAATGCTCCTTTTTTTAAATTATGACATGTTCTGCCAGGTTCATATGAACTCAGCAGAGTACGACCTTAAAAACCCAAGAAAATGAAAAGTGAACTAACTATAATTAGGTGCTAATTAAGTGTCCTATTCCCGAATTAAATGCTCCTTTTTTTTAAATTATGAACCTGGCAGAACATGTAATAATTTAAAAAAAAAGAGCATTTAATTCGGGGATAGGGCACTTAATTAGCACCTAATTCCTAAATAAGGAAGTCAAAATAAACAAATTACAAGAGATCAAATTAAACAAAACTTAAACATTTATCAATTCGAATACAAGACAACTCCGCGTTTAATTGAAAATCGGCAACCAAATTTACACCAAAAATAAATTAATATTCCATATAGAGGGTGACCCATTATCCTGCCCATTATAGATGCCGGTCCCAAACAGAACGTCTGCATAAGGTTGTTTACACAACAGTATATATTTGGAAACTAAAAACACATAGTTCATTTTCATTTGGAATAAATCCACTGTTACCCAAAAACGCTAGAAAATCATCATTGAGTAGATGGCTTTGATTTTCATGATTTTGAAAATTGGAAACAGTGATCATGATCATGTTAATGGCTTGTTATTAATCTCTTTCTTTCCAACAGGACAACTACAACGTCTTGCATATTGCCGGCATGTACTCCAGAGAAGATGTAGTGAAGCTGCTACTAGGGAAAAGAGGAGTAGATCCATTTTCGACCGGAGGAGTAAGTACATGATTTGTTATCCTAAGTTGCATGTCGTTATTATTTAAAGTAACGTATGCGTTCAATTTCATTTTAATGCATAGAAAGTGTACCTAAGTAGAGGTAAGCACGCTTCAAAGTTATCAGTTAGAACGGCCACTATATTTAGACAGAATGACAAAGAAGTTGGGTTAATTCCAGAAATTCGCATGCCAATTTTAATTCCCGAGCGCTGTAAAGCAAAAAATTTATGATATTGAAACCTAAATTGTACAGTTTCCATAGTTACAAAACATTAAAATCTACATGAATTGGTGAGAACTTTGAAGTGTGATGTTACAGTTAGTCACGATAAACCCTCAGCAAAGCTCGTTACGGCATTGCAAGGCTAATCGTTTCCAAATTTTTCAGTCGAGGCAACAGACGGCCGTCCATCTGGTAGCCTCGAGGCAAACGGGAACGGCGACCGCAATCCTTCGGGCTCTTCTCGCCGCCGCGGGAAAGGACATTCGCCTGAAACCTGACGGGGTGAGTTGCATGCGTTAAATTACCTCAACCGAAATGAAAAATGCGCGATATGATAATAAAATGCCTACATTTCGTGCATACCTTCGCCACTAATAGTTAAACGGATAGATACCTATCCCGTAATTGGTCTAGATGAAAAATTGTAATTTCAGTTTAATTTCCTCTGTGGTTAGTTTAATTTTCGAATGTTATTACTATCTGGTTTTTTTTTGGAAAACGTTGCACTATCTATATTAATCAAAACTTTAAGGATGAGCTGAGCTGATGTGCAAAATATTCAATTAGATGAGTAGGGCTTAAAGCTCTTTATGAGATTCAAGTTTTTCAGTTAGGGTTGAGCTCTGAGCGTTAATTTAAAGACATTGTTACCTATCTAGTAGGCTCAGCATAACTGTCTAAATACTACCCGTTGAACCAGCAAACAAGATATGAAGAATCGCAAAGGTTTTTCTGACATTCAGCTCGCATTCGGAAACACGACTTTAAATCCGGCTCATATTCGATAGCACTGCTCCTTGTCCTCGTAGAATTAGATTGGCGAATGTTTGACATCGTTGTCTCTTTTCGTTCTCGAGTTAGACGAGGAACAAACGGACAGAAGAACAAAACTAACACACTGCCATCTTCTAATTTAGGAAAAGGTTTCGACATTACCGGTCTTTGAAACTCTACAAGCCATTACAATGTTGAATATCTACAGTGAAGAACGATAAGCAGAATTTTTAATTCGAGAATGGCACCGTTGTTTTGTTGCTGCTTGTTTGTGTTTAATTCGTCATCAGCTCTGCTTTGGAGTTTTCAACGTTTAGTTCAGTGCGTAGGTATGGATTTCAGATAGCACTTCTAGGTTGCAATTATACTGCAACGGCCTTCGTAGCCTAAAGAGTTTTTCTTTTGACAAAGCTTTAAAATGCTGACTAAAAACGGTGATTTCTATGCGAAAATTAAATGAGTTATCTGCTGTCGGCTAGCTCAAATCTTTTTACCAAAATTTTACCTTTTTAGTGGTGTTGCTTCCTGTTTTTCCTTTTACTCGCTGAAAATTAGCTATATACCAAAATATCTATCTCTTTTCCACCTTTCAGCAAAAGAACAACACTAAATGTATGTTAAAAATAAATCAAAAATTAGAATATTTCCAGAACGCGATTTCCCTTTTTACAATGAATTCGTTTATCGATATCGCATTCATGTTCTGAAAAATTGCCCATAAGAAAACTTTCCCTTGGAATAACTGCGATCGACTCAATTGTAGAGCTATTTCCGTGGACAACACCGACCGCCGAAAATTTCCCCCAAAGAAGACTCTTATTGAAGTATTCTTCCTCCACAATTGGAAGTACAGAATGCTCAAATTCGTCCTCGAAGGTGCTTTAGCTTTCCATGAAAATTTACAAAAAATGTACCTTGCTCATTCAATTTTAGTTTGAGTTTCTAATAAATGTTCTTTTAAATAAATCAAACGAAAAAAATTACGAGTAAATAGTAGGTATATTAATTTTGAAATTTTGATGTAATATCCAAAAAGGCTTTAGTAATTGTGTAGTATTGATTCATAATTCCAGAGTTGTATGTTTCATTCCCTGCATTTTGCGATATAATTTTCCCAAACAGGTAATTCCTTGATTTTCTATAAATAACTGTGATCGGCAAAATATTGTTTTTCTTTGAAATATTTGCATTTCCAGTAGTTCAAGCTAATATTTCTTTACATATAAATTGTCGGTCTAGAACCACTAAATCTTATACTTTTTAAGGTATTTTTTCAAAAATTTCCCCGGACCCCCTCGTCTTTCCCCTCCCGTTCCGGGATGTCGCCCCCACCCACATATTTCTATTAATCCGTCCGTGGGTAGAAGAATGAAATACGGGCAGTTTATTGAATGACAGGGCACGTAAGCATGGTAACGACGCTGGGACCGTTTCATCTGCGGTCTTGGGCACCTATATATTATAGAAAATTAAAAAGGGAAACGAGTTCTAGCACTAGCTCAACCCGATCACAATAATGCGCGAGCTATAGCCATTCAATTTTATTGATCGTCCACTTTTAATCGCGCAGTTCAATCATCAAGATTTTCCTTGACTCAGATGCAGAACTGTAGGAGTAGTTAAGGCCTCGGACAGACGGACGGACAGAGCAAGTGGCTGCAATAGCGCACCCAACTTCGTTGGAAAATGCGCTAAAAAGTAAATGGCAAACGATTTACAAAAAGCGCTACTTCAATTTCAGTTTATAAGAAGAATCTTACCCTAAAATTTTAGAAGAATTAGATTACAAATAACGAATGTGGGTCTAGGCATGCGCAAAACAAATTTATTTGATTTGGCATTAGTTTTACCTTCATTCGAGGTGCCTACATAGGTATAACATTTCATTTAAATATTTTAACACATAAAAAATTGGATTACGCATGCACAAAAGGAATTTTTTGATTCGGCATTAGTTTTACCAAATATTTTGATTTGGCATTAGTTTTACCTTTATTTGAGGGGCCTACATACAAAATTTCACTTAAATATCTGAACACATAAACAAATTGGATTACGCAAATACAAAGTTATCATGCATCCGGACAGACAGACGGACGGATTGACAGATGGACAGACAGACGGAAGCAGATAGACGGGCAGACCGCGATACAACATTATAAACGATCTCGAGGATCGTCAATAAACGGCAAAAGTGTAAAATTATGCTACATGAAAAAAATAGATTTTTTACCATAACTTTTTTCTTAAGCGGCACAGAAAAAAAATCCTTTCTTGGTACAAGCCTCGACACCACAACGGACAATAGCTTTTAAGATAAAGAACTAGCAGCGACCGGACGGACGGATGGATGGACGGGCAGACGGACGGACAAAATGGCCACAATAGCGCGTTTTTTTATTTTTGCGGAAATGCGCTTTAAAGAGGTTCAAAGGGTCACAGTAAAAGCGAGACAGTTTCCAATTTTTTTTCGAGAAAATTTTTTTCAAAGGAGGGACGTACTATTAGTATACCAAAGAAAATGCCGATTCCAGTGATGTTACTTTAAATATTTTTCAATTGTATAAAGTATTGGTCGGTTACCTTTAAGAGTTTGAAGCGGGTGGTTACTTGACGTAACCATAATATTCTTAAAGGAACCGATAATGGATATGAACGATGAACCAGATTTGTATTGTACTTATCACTGAATCCATACAACAGAAGAGAGTAGAGGATACGCTGCACGGCTTGCTACGCGAGCAGCAGCTCGACCCAAAAAAAAGGATTAGCCATAGCAGAACTTTAATTGCGAGTCAGCAGCGGGATAGTCGCGCGCGACACCGCCAAATGTGGGTTCTAACTGATGCCAAAATGATCACCCGAAAATTCGTCTTAAAAAAAACTTGTTTCTAGGTAAATACACCCCTGTAAGATTCGCCCTAGAGCCCCGTCCTTTAAATAATTACGTGCCACACAATTTCAGCTCGCTTCTGCTTCTGACACTGACATAAAATATCTTTAGACAACTTTTCATCAAAACAACCCTTCACCAAGTATATTATTCATCCCGGTAATGTACGTCCTCCAAATTTATACTTTTTCTCCCATCCCTGAGTGCTCGTTCGTTACACATCTCAAAAATCGGTGGGTGAATATACAGTGTGTCTCAGATCGCCTGGGATTGCATGGGTAACTTTCTTGCTATACAGAGTGGCCCAACGAGAAGTAGACAGAGGGCTTTTAGGGTATTAAATTTAGAAATTTCGAAAAATCCTCGAACACGTCAATTTTGTATTCGAGGGGGACAACTTTTGGAATACAAATCACGAATCCAAGTCTTCACCCCTCTACGTGGGGAGCTTAACCCCTAAAATTTTAAATGGAATCCTATGGCAAATGGCACGTTATTTGAAAGCCAATTTAATCTTGATTACTAATCTGCTTTGCTTTTTAAATTCTATTGATTCGTTTCGGAGATATTCGCATTTGAAATGGATTTTTCCCCTGATTTAAGTCCTTTAGATTATTCTTGTGGGGATATTTAAAGAATAAAGTTTATGCTACTCCGCCCGGAACATTACAAGGGTTGCGAGCACGTATAACCATAGTGTAAGAATAGAATGCACTATAGTATAACTCAACAATTTCGAGCGATTACCCCTGAAATCTTGCAACATGTACGGCAACGTTTTGAAGCAAATCTTTATTATTGCATGGAAGCAGACGGAAGGCAATTCGAGCATTTATTGAAATAAATGTTATTTGTTATTTTTTGTACAATTTAAACCTTGTATTAAAAATTTTAATACAAGGTGACTTAGATCGCATTTGTTTTGGTTTTTTTAAAAAAACCATTTCAAATGCGAATATCTCCGAAACGAATCAATAGAATTTAAAAAGCAAAGCAGATTAGTAATCACGATTAAATTGGGTTTCAAATAATGTGCCATTTGCCATAGGATGCCATTTAAAATTTTAGGGGTTAAGCTCCCTACGTAGAGGGGTGAAGACTTGGGTTCGTGATTTGTATTCCAAAAGTTGTCCCCCTCGAATACAAAATTGACGTGTTCGAGTATTTTTCGAAATTTCTAAATTTAATACCCTTAAAGGCCTCTGTATACTTCTCGTTGGGCCACTCTGTATATTAAAGATAGAGAATTGATTAAATAGACAATGTTTTGCAGTTCACAGACTACTTGATTAAAATTCAAAAACCGTTGATATAACTGGTGTCTTATTTTCAACCTTATGTTATGATAGCTCGTTGAAAAGAGAATTAAAAAATCTATCAAGTAATCTAAAAATCCAATACGGCGCCTATTTAACTTTAGTTGGTAAATGTTCCTCAAAAGTAGTCATCTTGAATTTTTTTGACATCAATTCTAAATGAAGCGTATCAAAGACAGTAACTTTTATATAAAACTTTTTTTTATATCTCTTATACTTTCGATGATAAGTATAAGACATTCAAGGAAATGACCAATTTTAGTTTTTTAAATTTACATCAAACCTTTTCCGGGAGTGAA